AAGGTCTTATAGAAGCTACAGGAATCATCTTTTGTTTGGTTGGTTGGTTTGTTTGTTTGGAATTGCTATAATTGCCATACACCAATGAGTGGCCACATGCCCATGCACATATGGGCAGAACTAACTGACCACAGTGGGTTATTTTAAAAGTCATGAGGTTGGACGGTGACCATTTGGCAGTATATAAATGAATGGGAGTGGGAAAATGTGAATACATATGATGAACTTTATTGTATGTCTGAATGAAATATTTAAGAATGGAGAAAAATGCAGTTATTTCCAGGTAATAATTATTTGTCACCGGATGGGCATGTTCTCTGAAAGCTTTAATTTATTCAGGTAAAAATGTCAAAGCTGGGAAACCACGGTGGCGATGAGAGAAAGCTACACTGAAACACAGAGTCAGAAAAAAGTTGCTTGGCATTGTTCTAGTTCTTGTTCTGGATCCATCCTGAAGGTTGTGTGGGACTCTACTTTGTTTTTGTTTTTCCCATAAAGTACCTAGACACCAACGTTTCTCACCTAATACAGTATTTCCCCTTAAGCAGAAAAGCACAAACAACTCTACAAACTAAAGTCCACTTTAGTCATGTACTTTCTGTAGTAACCAGAGGTAAATTAATAACTTTGGCTTCAATATCATCTCTTTTTGGTGAAGATACACGGCCTTTCTTTATTTGTGATTTGGCCGTGTGTAACAGAAGTCTTATATAGGTAAGTTTTTGTACTTTTATTAAAATAGCAACAAATGTAGGGTTAGTGAAGGATCCTTTCCCAGTCTGTAGGCTATTGTTTTGTTCTGATGACAGTGTCCTTTGCTTTACAGAAGCTTTTCAGTTTCATGAGGTCCCATTTGTTGATATTGATAAAAGAGCCTTGCTACTAGTGTTCTGCTCAGGAAGTTGTCTCCTATGGCAATGATTTCCAGGCTCTTCCTCATTTTTTCTTCTACAGGTTTAATGTGTCTGGTTTTATTTTGAGGTGTTCGATCCACTTGGACTTTAGTTTTGTGCAGGGTGATAAATATGGGTCTATCTGTATTTTTCTACATGTAGATATCCAATTAGACCAGCACTATTTGTTTAAGATGCTGTCTTTTTTCCATTTGGCTTATTTGTCAAAAATTAAGTTCTATTAGGTGTGTAGGTTCATTTCTGGGTCTTCAACAACAAGGAGGACCCCAGGAAAGAGCCAAACTCAGACGAGCAAACAGAATAGACATCAGGAGTAGGAGAAGACAAGGAACAGGACAGGAGCCTTCCACAGGAACCTCTGAAAGACTCTACCCACCAGGGTATTGAAGGAGATATTGAGATGCACAGCTAAACTTTGAGCAGAGTGCAGGAAACCTTACAGAAAAAGAGGGAGATAGAAAGATCTGGAAGGGGCAGAAACTTCACAAGGAGAACAACAAAACCAAAAAATCTGGGCCCAGGGATAAGGGGGAAAAAGCAAGGGTGGGTGTTCTGGGGGAAGACTAGGGAGGGGGCTACCCAGAGGAATCAAGTTATCAAAGCAAAACGATCTTGATTTAGGTGGAAAAAAAAATCAAGGACTTGGTTGTCCTTATGTCTCCTATTCAGAAAGAATCTGAATAAACTTACAGGAATATGACAATTCCTTTTTTAAGATCTTATACTGCTACCTTCAGGCATTATGAGCACAACTACCAGTTTACTGTTGAACTGCAGTAGCTTTTTAATTGTAATTCTCTATCTTTACTTTTTAAAAATTATAACTTGATAAGTTACACTGGTATGTTTTGCTGGTCTGAATAGATTTTATAATTTTTAAACAAAGTAGAGCATGGAAGTGTAATTCAATGAATGCAGTTGACATATATGTCATTTAAATACATAGAAGTGTCAGCTAACTCAGTTAACTTTGTGAAATAAAATGATACAGTACAATAAAAGGGACATTTAAATTTATCAAAACAGTTTTAATCCTTGACACAATTCTTAACCAATCTCATTCAGTCTGACTCATGATTTTTTTTTGTGGTGCTTTTTATTTTTAGCTATATTTTAATCAGATACATTCCTGATCAGTGCTAGTAATCATTTTGTTTTTAGCATAGTACCTGGACACTTCTTTCTTAAACTTCCCTTTCCTTACCTTTATCACCTGAGAAGACCTTGGTGTTTCATGGAATGAGTTTACAGGGACCATGCCTTGAAGCAGTGCAGTAGGAAGGCCTTCACAATACTTAGGAGAAACTTAAGGTTTTTTTCATTTTAAGACATCATTTGAGAATATACTTTCGTTTGCATTCACATAATTCCTATCATATATAAAAATATATGTTGATCATTTATGCAAACACATCATTTGATCAAGCCAAGGTTAAGCAGTTTTAATTGAAATTATTTTTCAATGATAGACGCTAACTTATTCCCTTAGCTTCCTATAGTGAGTAATTAAGTAATGAACATAAGAGGCGAATATCTCATGAATGTGTCTTCCTTTGGATTTAGAAACAGAAGACTGACTGATGAACTTTTTAGATGCTTTTGAGGAATCTTCATAGTTTTGTTCCTGACTGGGATGCTGATTTACATTGCATTCCTGTGAACAATACGCAAGGACTCACCTCTCTCAAACAATTGCCCCATATTTGTATTTCTAATAGATTTTTGTAAGAGCTATCCTAAGATGTGAGGGGATACGTTATCCTTGTGACTGGACTTGGTTGTGATTTCCATTTTGCAGATGATTTGTGATAACAAGTTCTTTTTAAGGGTTCCTAGCTGTCTAAAGAATGTATGATATATATACACATATACGCATATACGTATATCTGCATATGCATATATATGTTTTGGATTTCTTTATTATTTTTATTATTCAGGTATAAGAAGAAGAAACTTGCTATAAATGAAAATATAAACAATACTAAAAGATAGTATTCTATGTGAAGACAACAAGACACTGAAACACAAATTCTCTTTGATTTGACTTAGATATGCAGATCAAAACCATTGAACTCATAAGACCAAAAGGTAGAATAATGCTGATTTGAGGTGGGATAAGTTGGAAGATGCGATTGAAAGGTTAAACCACAATGATGAGATAGGCAAGCTATCAGTATATTTTTATTTAATGTTTTTATTTTTGTTTTTTATTAATTACAGTTTATTCACTTTGAATCCCACCTGTCGCTCCCTCCCTACTCCCCTCCAAAGCTCACCCTCCCTCCCTCTGCCCCACCCATAACCCTCCCCCAGTACACTGATAGGGAAGGTCTTCCTCCACTTTCTTCTCATTCCAGCTATCAGGAATGACTGCATTTTCTTCCTCTGTGGCCTGGTAAGGTTGCTCCCCCCTGAGGGGGTAGTGATCAAAGAACAGGCCAATCAGTTCACATCAGAGACAGTCCTGTTCCTATTACTATGGAACCCACTTAGACACCTAACAGCCATGGGCTACATCTGTGCAGGGGTTCTAGGTTATCTCCATGAATGGTCCTTAGTTGGGGTATCAGTCTTAGAAAAGACCCCTGTGCCCAAATTCTTTGGTTCTTTTGCTCTCATTGTGGAGCTCCTGTCCTCTCCGTCTTTCTATCTCTTTCTTCATTCATAAGATTCCTTGCACTCTGCCCAAAGTTTGGCTATGAGTTTCAGTATCTTCTTTAATACCCTGCTGGGTAAAGTCTTTCAGAGGCCCTCTGTGATTGGCTCCTGTCCTCTTCCCTATTTTCACCCTCCTCTGATGTCTATCCCATTTACCTTTCTGAATGAGGATTAAGCAGCATACCCAGCTCTTAAGGTGTACAAATTTTAGCATGGTTATCATATATTATATGTCTATTATCCACTTATAGGTCAGTATATACCGTGTGTGTCTTTTTGCTTCTGGGTAAGTCACTCAAGATGATCTTCTCTGGTTCCCACATTTGCCTGTAAATTTCATGATTTCACTATTTTTAATTGTCTGAGAAAGCATCAAATTGATTTCCAAAGTGGTTGTACAAGTTGAGCTGTCACTATTAAGACACATATACATGATGATAGAAATAGTAGTAAATCTGATTATTGGACATTTTATGCTTTGAATATATGTATGTTAATATTTTCTCTATTTTTACTTCCATTCATTGATTGTACAAAGTAATAGTTTACATTATTACATTTTCTTTATGTAAATAATGTATTTTGGTCATCTTCAATCTCTCATTATCATATCCTGTTACCTGCAACCCACTGTTCGCCTTCCTTACCTTTAATTCTTTCCTCTATTTTTTATGTATTAACTAGATTATTTGCCTTTTTCTCTTTACAAATATTATTGTTACATATGTTATGCATATATATATATATATATATATATATATATATATATATAACCTGCTAAGTCCATTTAGTTGCTCATATGTATTTTTTTAGGGTTGACCAATTGGCACTTCATAACTACTTTCCTGGAGTTAACTGATCCTCTCACTCTCAGCAGTTATTAATTGAATACAGCTTTTCATCTAGGGTTGGGGCCTGTGAGATTTTCACCATCCATGTTGGCATGGTAATTGATGTTGTTCAGATCTTGGTTAGGCTTCAATATTTTTGAGATTTCATATAATAGCTTCCTTGTCCTGTAAAGAAGACATAGTCTCACAGGGGTCAGAAGAATGGTAATAGCTTTTGGTATCTTAAAAAAAAAACTACCTCTTGAGAGCTGAGAGGAACACATTACTTTGCACATTAACTGAATTTCTAAATTGGTGTTCATTCAGTAGGTTGCCAAATCAGGGATATTTAAAATTTTTTTTTCTGTCATTGTGAAATAAAACATACTGCTGTCAATGTTGTGAATCAAATGGGTTATTACATTTTAATACATAGTCAGAGAATGTACATTTTTCTTTAGAAAATATTGACTATTTCAATTTTTGAATTTCTGTCACATAAAATGTATATCTTTAAATTAAAAAGTCAAGATTTTGAATTTATGTTTTCTATACCAATATACCTATAATTCTACAGCAGACATTTGTAAGAATCACCATGGCCTTTGATGAAATTCTACATCATGTAGGTGACAGTGGAAGATTTCAGATTTTGATGATTGTCCTTTTCAACATTTTATCTTTGCTGTCATCCTCTCATGACTTCATGGAGAATTTTACAGCAGCCATCCCTGATCATCACTGCAGAGTAAATCTTCTGGACAATCCAATAACTGAAATTAATATCACCATGAACTTGACTACTGAAGCTATGATGAAGGTCTCCATCCCAATGGGCCCAAATCAGAAACTGGAGCCATGTCGTCGCTTCCGGCACACCCAGTGGCAATTCTTAAATCCCAATATATCAACCTCTAACATCACCGAGCTGGAGACCGAGCCATGCCTGGATGGATGGACATATGACCACAGTGTTTTTACTTCTACCATCGTCACTGAGGTAAGATACTTATGTCTAGTGAATTAACTAGAGAGCCCTGACGTTGAGTCATGAGATGTAAGATCATTTTCACAAAATACTGAGAGTAAGGAGGCGAAGAGAAGCTCTCTCTCTCTTTCTCTGTGTAAGTACATGTCTATATATTTTTAAGAGTGCTATAGCTTCAAAGTCAAGATTTGTAAACTTTCATCTTTGGCACATACTTTATATTTCTATGTTTATAGTTCATATGCATCTTTCTCCATATATTTGAAAAAAGTAACACCATCATTCTACACAACATTTAACTGCCTGTGGTGATTGCATTCAGATATTATGCTCAGTACTCAGCTTACTTGGGTTTAACTTCCTAGATCTATTCTTGAACAGTTTTATATTTCAGTTTATTTATAGTTAAGGCAGAACTGCTTTATATACTGTTATTTAGGAAAATTTCTGGTTAATGCTGTTATCTGAACATAATTATTAAAAATTCTACTTTACTACCTAAGATAATACTATTTAGAGTATTTGCAAGACATATACAAGACATTTAAAAGCAGAAGTTCTCAGCAATAAATTCTTTGTAAGGGATGGGTTCTAGAGGTTATCACTCCTATCTTTGCTAGAATTTGAGCTGGTTTGATATTTTGCATATCTGAGTAGGTAACCATAGCTCCTCTGACTTCGTGAATTGGACAGTTATGATATGTTCAGGATATAGAATTTTCCCTGAGCCTTGGGGGGCAGATAGTGGTTAATAAACATGTAAAAAAACTGTTTACTTTAGGACTGAACAGTCAGTCTCTTTTTCTAAGCTATTGTCTAATTACGTATCTCTTCATTGATTGATACCTACTACTAAAAGAAGCTTCTTTGAGCAAGACTGAGAACAGTTAGGTCTATAAGTATACACATAAATATTTATATGTATATTAGTTAATATTTTATTGTTGTGATAAAACATCATAGTCAAATCAACTTATAAAAGAAAGATTTAATTTGGTTTATGGTTTCAGATGATTAGAGTCCATAATGGAGGAGTGAGAGCTCACATCTTGATCTACAACCATAAGGCAAAGAGAAATCACTGGCAATCTTATGAGTCTTTTGACACCTCAATTTTTACTCCCAGTGACACACATTCTCCAAAAAGACAACAATTCCTCATCCTTTCAAAAAAAGTTCAACCAAAAGGGAAACAAGTATTCAAACATATGAGTCTTGAGGTCATTCTTATTCAAACCACCACAAGAAAGCAATTTGACACTATAACTATTGAACAAAGTTCTGTCCCCCTATGAAGGTAGATGACCTCTGTAGCCCTGGCCTTTTGACCAGTATTGCCACACCAAGCATGAAATCTTCCACTGTAACGCAGGCCTCAGATCCAGTGGAAATGTAGTTAGTTATGCCATGATTGTTAAATCATATCACTCTTACACGAATGGATACATCTCTTTTTAGAAATGGTTTTTCATATAACCAAAACCTGCTCTCAGACTAAGACAAATATCTTACATTATATTAAAGATAATTAAGCCCTCTTCATTGAAGGTTGAAATTGTAGAACACAGATGAAGAAAATTTAACTATCTCCATTTGCTATAATCACATTCCCATTAAAATTTTATTAAGCTATTAAGAAAAATGAAATTATGAAATTCACAGGTAAATTGTTGGAGATGGAAACTATTATTCTGAGTGAGACAACCCAGAGCTAGAAAAAGAAATACTGCATACTTTCTTTCATCTTTTCTTTAAATGTTAGTTTTGAATCTTCACATATGTGTATTTTGTTTAGAATATTCATATAAGTCAGGCAATTATTAAGGGGCAATGAAAAAGAGTTTCAAGAGAGTTGATATAAAAGTTTAAAAAGGAGTAATGGAGTAGATTAATTAATAGATTAGTAGTAGATTAATTAGTAGATTAATTTTGGGTTTGGGAGAGGATAGTAGAAGAGAGAACAAAACAAAGGAAAGGAGAAATGACACTAAAGCACTTAGGAAATATTCATGAATACCTACTATAATAGAACAAAATTTAAGTTTTTTTAAATATGCAAATGACAACTAGATTGAGAAATAAAACAGGAATTTAATACCTTTCACAATATTCTAAAAACAAAAACAAAACCCCAAAATATCATGACGTAACTATAACCAAGCAAGTGAAAGAAATGTATAGGAAACATTTTAAGACACTGAAGAAGACATCAAAAGATAAAAACAACAACAACATAAAACCCTCTTTGTTCATGGATCAGTAGGATTGAAAAAGTGAAAATGGCCATCCTTCCAAAGCAATCTATAAATTTAATTCAATTTCCATCAAAATTACAACACAATTCTTCATAAAAATTGAAAGATTGATTTTCAGAAAACTCAGAACAGCTAAAAAATATAAAGAAATAAAGACCTGCTTGAGGTATTATCAAGTTGTACTACAAAGCTATAGTAAAAAAAAAAACAAAAAACAAAAAAACCAAAAAACATAAAACCACATTGTAGGGCTTAAAAAACAAACACATTGATCAATGCAATCAAATGACAGATGTCAGTTTTCCTCCTCTCTTTCCAGTCCCACCTTCACACCCCATCCCCTTTTCCCCATCTTTCTCTTTGGGGGTATAGAATGTATATGTTCCATTTGAGGCTAAGCATTATGCAGTTCACCGTCCGCTCTGACAAGAAGTGGTATATGCACTAATTTGTGCATATAGATGTAAGTCAGAGAAGCCACATTAATACTGTGTACATTTAGTAAAATAACAGTAGTAGGCTCTCCCCAACCCATTGTCATTTTTAACCGTAAGTTACCTAGAATGTAGTCCTTGTCAATGTTAAACATTAATTACAGACTATTTCCTATTATCCAAGAAGTTTATTCTCTAGTTATATTTGGAGCCTCTTTTCATATCCTAAATATAATTATTCGTTATGATATTTTTATTCACTCTTTTACAGTGGAATTTAGTATGCGATTTTCAGTCATTCAGATACTATGCACAAGCCACCTCGTTGGCAGGACATGTGCTGATTAGTCCTCTCTCTGGCATTGTTTCTGACAGGTAAGTTTCATTTTTTGACAAAGAATACCTGTAAAACTGTTTTTAAGTAGCGATGGATCAGTGGTTAAGAACACTTACTTCTCTTTCAAAGGACAGGAGGTTTGATTCCCAGCACCCATATGGTAGCCCCCAACCATCTGAAACTCCAGTTGTAGAAGATCCACGACCTCTTCTGCCTTCCTCAGGCACCAGGCATGCAAGCAGTAAAAAACTGTTTTTAAGGACTATATATATTTATTAAAAATTATGAACATTGACAGAATCTAGGTAGACTGAGTGCAATATAAATGATAGGTGTGTTTCAAAGGGATAACTAACAAACCAAGGTCCTTTGTGGCTATTGTGAAGGCTGTTGTTTCCCTAATTTCTTTCTCAGCCCTTTTGTCTTTGGTATACAGGAGGTTTCTGATTTGAGTTAATTTTGTATCCAGCCATATTGCTGAAGGAGTTTATCAGCTAAAAGAGTTCTCTGGTTGATTTTTGGGGGTCGCTCATGTATACTATCCTATCATCCATGAATAGTGATACTTTGACCTCTTCCTTTCTGATTTGTATCCCTTTGATCTCCTTTAGTTGTCTTACTGCTCTTACTAGGACTTCAAGTTGAAGAGATATAGAAAGAGTCGACAGCTTTGCTTGTCCCTGATTTCAGTGGGATTGATTTAAGTTTCCTTCCGTTTAGTTTGATTTGGCTATAGGCTTGCTGTATATTGTCTATGCTATGTTTAGGCATGTGCCTTTTATCCCTGATCTCTCCAAGACTTTAAACATGAATGGGTGTTGGATTTTGTCAAATGCTTTTTCCACATCTAACCACATGATTATGTGGTTTTTCTCCTTCATTTTGTTTATATGGTGGATTACATTGATGGATTTCCATATATTGAACCAACCCTTGCATGCCTGGGATGAAGCCTACTTGGTCATGGTGGATGAAATATTTTATGTGTTCTTGGATTCAGTTTGCAAGTACTTTATTGAGTACTTTATTTGCATCATTGTTCATTAGAGAGATAGGTCTGAAGTTCTCTTTTTTTATTTGGGTCTTTGTGTGGTTTAGGTATCAAGGTAACTGTAGCTTCATAGAATGAGTTTGGTAATGTTCCTTCTGTTTCTATTTCTGGAATAGTTTGAAGAGAATTGGAGTTAGCTCTTCTCTGAAGGTCTGGTAGAATTCTGCGCTGAAACCATCTGGACCTGCGGTTCTTTTGGATGGAAGACTTTTGATGACTGCTTCTATTTCCTTAGGGGATATAGGACATTCAATCTATTTACCTGATTTAATTTTGGTAAATAGACTCTATCAAGATAATTGTCCATTTCTTTTAGATTTTCAAATCTTGTGCCATATAGGCTTTTGTAGTAAGATCTAATGATTGTTTGGATTTCCTCAGTGTCTGTCATTATGTTCCCTTTTTCATTTTTGATTTTGCTGATTTGGACAGTTTCTCTCTACCTTTTAGTTAGTTTGGCTAAGAGTTTGTTTATCTTGTTGGTTTTCTCAAAGAATTAGCTCTTGGTCTCATTGATTCTTTGAATTGCTTTCTTTGTTTCTAATTCATTGATTTCAGCTCTAAGTTTGATTATTTCCAATCACATACTCCTCTTGGGTGTGTCTGCTTCTTTTTTTTTCCTAGGGCTTTTAGGTGTGCTGTTAAGTTGCTTGTATGTGATATCTTCAACTTCTTTCTGGAGCACATAGTACTATGAACTTTCCTCTTAGCACTGCTTTCATTGTGTCTCATAAGTTTGGGTAAGTTGTGCCTTCATTTTCTTTGAATTTTAGCAAGTCTCCAAATTCTTTTTTCACTTCTTCCCTGACCAAGCTGTCATTGAGTCAAGAGTGGTTTAGTTTCCATGTGTATATAGGCTTCTTGTTATTTCTGTTTTTTGGTGAGGTCTAGTTTTAGGTCATAATGGTGTGATAGGATACAAGAGATTATTCCAATCTTCTTGTATCTGTCAAGGCTTGCTTTGTGCCTGACTATGTGGTCAATTTTTGAGAAGATTCCATGAGGTGTTGAAAAAAGGAATACTCTTTTGAGTTTGGGTGAAAATTTCTGTAGACATCTATTAGGTCCATTTGATTTAGGACCACTGTGTCGTTATTTCCCTATTTAGCTTCTGTCTAGATGATCTGTCCCTTGGTGATTAATTTTAGTTGAAAGTCTATTTTATTATATATTAGGATAGCTACCCCAGCTTGTTCTCTGGGTCCATTTGTTTTAAAAACATTTTTCCAGCTGTTTACTCTATCTTTGTTGCAGAGGATATTTTTTTTGGATGCAGCAGAATGTTGGATCCTGTTTCTACACTCAATCTGTTAGTCTCTGTCTTTTTATTGGAGAGTTGAGTCCATTGATGTTGATAGATAATAGTGACCAATGAACATTAGTTCCTTTTATTGTGGAATTGATGGTCTTACTCTGATTCACTGCTTGTTTTCTTTTACTTTTTGTTGGGAAATTATCTGTATCCTATGTTTTCTTGGGTATAGTTGTTTTCGTTGGATTGGATTTTTCCTTCTAGTATCTTCTGTAGGATTGGTTTGCTGTGTAGATATTGCTTAAATTTAGTTTTGTCATGGAATATTTTGTTTTCTCCATCTATGCTGATTGAAAGCTTTGCAGGGTATAGTTGTCTGGGATGGCATCTGTGGTCCCTTAAAGTCTGTATGACATCTGCCCAGGCCCTTCTTGCTTTCATAGTTTCTGATGAGAATTCCCATGTGATTCTGATAGGTCTACCTTTATATGTTACTTGGCCTTTTTCCCCTGCTGCCTTTAATAATTTTTCTTTGTTCTGTAGATTTAGTGTTTTGACTATTATGTGACACGAGGAGTTTCTTTTCTGATCTAGTCTATTTGGTGTTCTGTAGGCCTCTTGTAGGTTTATGGAGATCTCTTTCTTTAAGTTGGGAAAATTTTCTTCTATGATTTTCTTGAAAATATTTTCTGGACCTTGGAGCCTGGAATCTTCTTTTTCATCTATTCTTATTGTTCTTATATTTCATCTTTTCATGGAGTCCTTGATTTCTTGGATGTTTTGTGTTTGGAATTTTTCTGATTTTACTTTTTCGTTGGGAGAAGTATCAATTTCTGCGCATGTATCTTCAGCTCTAGAGATTCTCTTTTCCATCTCTTGTAGTCTATTGGTGATGCATTCTACCTGTTCTCTACTCTAAAATTTGGGCCTTCAGGGGCAAATGAGAGTGTAAGAGATCCATCAGCTTAGTGTGTACACTGTTTGTCCGCTGGGCAGAAAGACCCTTACTCGGGATAGCCACTTCTGTTTTCTCAGTCATAGAGCTTGGAGGCTCCCGTTAGGGCTAGCTGCCACCACTGCAGACCTGGGACAGTCTCATGCTTGGAGGTCTTGGGAAGCTTGTACAGCTGACCCCAGACCTGGAAGTCCCTGGGAAGCCTGCACAGCTGATCGCAGACCTGGGAGACCTGTACAGTGGCCCTCTGTGAGGCCCATAGAGTTTCCAGCCACAGCCACATAACTGGTAGGTCAGTACAGATTCTTTCTGGGAGACCTTGGGAAGCCTGTACAGCTGCACTTAGACCTAGGAGGCCGGTACAGCTGCCAGCTGCTACAGAACTAGGAGGTCTGCCTCTGCTGTCTCAGTTACTGAGCAGGGATGTCATTGCTTGGAGCAGTGGGCACTGTGGGCCTCCTCTGCTGAGGAGAGAGGCCTGTCAAGGGGAGGTGTAGGGGGGTTGAATATTCGCCACTCTCAGTCCTAAGAGAAGTCCCCCGGTGACCTGGATCCAAATGGTCTCAGCCCACAGGTTGTCCCCTCTCACTCAGGAAGCCTCAGTGTCCAAGTTCTGGCTTCAGGTGCCTCTCCACTCACCAATTCTGGAGTTTTAGATCCTGACCCTTCAGGCAAGGTTGGCACTGGTTGCCACCATCTTGGATCTCCCTGCTATGTGGTTTTTACATTTAAAAAAAGATAAAGTATGCTTAAAGTATTCATTTATTTATAAATAAATTTTCTAATGAACTTAAAAAATACATTTGCCTGAAGTCTATAAGAATGCTTGTGAACAGGAGGCAAAAGTTTTGAGTATGGTGCCTGCTCAGAGAAATTTCTATCATGAAAAATATAGAGTTATGAATACATAACCGCTTCATATCCAGATAAGTAATGAGGCAGATTTTAAAACTTCCTCATAAAGGGGAGGAGGACCTCCCCTATCAGTGGACTCGAAAGGAGGCAGGGAGGAGATGGGGGAGGAAGGGGGATTGGGAGGGAAAGAGGGAGGGGGCTATGGCTGGGATACAATAAATATTTATGGGGAAGGATATAATCAATTAATGTGTGTGGATATGCATTGCAAGAAAGAAGAAAAGTTAGTATTGAAACTTACGGAAGTGTACCTTGAAGGACAGGGTGCTAGAGCATGTAGATGACTGGAATGTGGGGCTTAAGTGCAGGAGGGAGTGTGGGCGCTGGCAGTGTTTGGGGGCACAATGCGCATGTTGCCTAAATACCTCAGTGGCCCACAGGTCTGTCTTACTTTCCTCCTGGTATTCGGATCTGTGGGCTTCAGGAATTGTTTACCTGGACTCTACGGATAAGGGAGGTCCTCCTCCTCTATTGTCTGACCCTATCCTATCCTATCAGGTCCCATCAGGACTGTCTGGATCCTCTTCTGTGGGTTGGCTAACTTGTCCCACCAGAGAGAAGTGATCAAGGAGCAGGCAACTGAGTTCATGTTAGAGACTGTCTCTTCTCCCCTTATTAAGGGAACCACATGGAGACTGAGCTTTCTATGGGCTACATCTGAGCAGGAGGTCTAGGTCCTCTCTATGCATGGTCTTTGGTTTGTCTAGGTCTTCTCAATATATGTTCTCTTTTTTTATTTTTCTGGCTTTGTTGGTCTTCTTATTTGGCTCCTATCCCCTGCAGGTCCTTTTTTCATCCTCCTTCTTCCATAAGACTCCCTGCACTCTCAATAGTTAAGAGTGCTTATTGATCTTTCAGAGGGTCACAATTCTGTTCAGATGCTCCCTTCTGGTCTCAAGGGATACCTGCATGCAACACACACATGAACACACACACACACACACACACACACACACACACACTCGCAAAAATGCATACACTGAAGAAGGACTAGAAGGAGGACTGGAGAGATGACTCAGCAGCTAAAAACATTGGGTGCTCTTCCAAAGGTCTCAGGCTCAATTCCCAGCACTCATATGGCAGTCCACAAGTATCCATAATTCAAGTTCACTGATTTTTGCTTCCTTACACAGACATACATGCAGGCTAAACACTAATGCACATGAAATAAAAATGAATAAAATAACAAAAAGAACTTAGAAGTATTCAGTGTGATGTCTCAGATCTGAAATAGTGAATAGTGCTGTATTAGATACATAGTGGCTCTGCATTGATATTTATGTACAGATGTGTGACTTTCATTGTTGCAGTATGGTAGCACAGGCTCTCAGATTACAAGGATCTAAGAGTAATGGGGATTCTCTGGGGCTGTGACAATGATCTGTATGTAATCAGTTGTTAGATTTTTCACTGCTTTCATTACTGTTACACAGGTTTGGAAGGAAGCCATTGTTGGTGTATTGTTGCTTAGCCTATGGGATTTTGGGCACCTACTGTGCCTTTGTCCCCAATTTCTCCCTTTACTGTGTTTTGAGATTCCTGCTTTCTGCCTCCATGAGTACTGTAATGAACAGCTCTCTTATCCTTGGTAAGTTTGCCTTGATCTGCATACATGTATTGCCTTACATTCTTGAAATCTTGGTATTGTGCTGGTTTTGTTTTTTGTTTTGTTTTGTTGACTTGACATAAACTAGAGTCATAAGGAAAGAGGGCACCTCAATTGATGAAATGTCTTCATCAGAATGGACTGTAGGCAAATATATGGGACATTTTTTCTTGATTAATGAATAATATGGGGCGACAGACTACTGTACTGGGTTACACAAGAAAGCAGGCTTAGCAAGCGATGGAGAGCAAGCCAGGAAGCAACCTTCTCTATGGTCTTTGTTTCAGTTCCTGCCTCCAAGTTCTTGCCCTTACTTCCCTTTATGATGGTCTATAACTTCTAAGATGAAAGAAACTCTTTCCTCCCCAAGTTGCTTTTGATCATGGTGATATACACACCACTAAGTGCAAACTAATACATAACTCTTCTTTTCTTTTAGTTTTAGAAGAAATGTCAGTCAAGTGGTGCACCACAGCTGTAATACTAGGTGGACTGTTCATGAGTATTGGTCAGGCTGGGCTTGGAGGACTGGCTTACATGATGTCAGACTGGCACAGACTGCAACTTGCTTTTGCCTTACCATACTTCATTTTTTCTCTTTTGTTCTGGTATGTGCATTTTGATTTGTACTAAGCCATTAAACTTCAATGATCATAACATATGATAGTGTTGTTATATCCATTGAGGAATATTTTGCCATTTACTCATGTACTCTGGCTTGTTTTAAGTGATATATGCAGAGAAATAAATGTAAAAGCCTTAACAGAAAAATCAATAGCAGGATAATTCCTTCAGTTAATTTATAAACTTAAGTGAATGATGGCTCAAAATTTCATATAATATTACTTTATTCTTCACTTGATTCTGAGTTCAAACCATAGGAAAGTCTACATAGATGACAGTCAATGACAGACTGATTTGAAAATAGATATTTTTGATCTTTCTTTAAGGAAACAAGAAACAGTCTTTTTTATATTAAAGCAACTATTCTGGTATTCTTTAAAACTTTAATTAGTCTTCTCAGGGATAAACACAAGATATTTAAAATAAAAAATATAAAAATAAGTATTTTTAATTTGGAATATAAACATTTTGTATTTAAAAATTGTGAATCTCAAATTACTGTCACATATTAAAGTGGCAATAATTTTAGAATTAGAGAACTATAAAACACATTCAGATTTTGAGTAATGGAGTCTTTATTCCTCTTTAAAAATAAAAATCTTTTTTTTTTCTAGCTGTGAAAGTGTATTAAAAGGCTTAGTAACAGGGTATGACAGTGTGATTCATGAATAAGTTGATAAGTTGAAGGTTGATTAAATCCTGGAATGTCCTTTATTGGTAGGAGGGCTAATAATGGTATAAGATTAACCTTTTCCTGGAAAAAACAAGAATGTCTTTGGGCTGGAATATGACCTCTCTTTCTACTAATCTCTTTTTAAACAGCTTGGGGCCAGAATCTGCCCGGTGGCTCATGACCACTGGGAAAATAGACCGAGCACTAAAGGAACTACAGAAAATTGCCTCCATCAATGGAAAGAAAGACATTGCACAAAATCTAACTACTGAGGTATTAGACACACATTACAATTATTTTTCAATTCCTTTCTACCATCAAATAATAAAAACCGCAGTGAAATTATAGAAAAACATACCCAAGAACTAGAAGAATTTGGGGACATATTCAAATTAAAGTGTTCACTATTATTATTCTTTTCAAATGTCTTTTAAATTAAAATATACTAATTAATATATTTTATTAAATTGTTATTTAATATATTAAGTATATTAAAATATTCCCTCTTCACTTTCCTTCCTCTAACTCCCCTAACGACACCTCTCTCCTACTCCCTATTAAATTCGTGGCCTCTTTTTTCTTTAATTGTTGTTGCTGTATATTTACACCTGAATATATAAATATAGTCTTTTCAATCTACTTTGTGTTATTTACATATATATGATTTTAGGGTTGACACCCTAGTATTAAATAACCAAATAGAAAACCTATTCCCTCGAGAAGATTATTTCTCCTTCTTTCAACATTTATTAGCTTCCTATAGCTATTTGTTTGGGTGGGTACCTGTGAAAGACATATCAGCATGTCTATTGATCTTGTCATTGTCCAGGTCTTATGTAGATAAGACATATTGTTCAGATATCAGGGCTGATGCGCCCCTGTCACTTCTGAGACAGAATAATATAACAGACTTCCTGATCCTCTCGCTCTTACTATCTTTGCTTTCTTCTCCCTTGATGTTTCCTGAGCCTAAGGGTACAGGAGTTGTGAAGTAGATGTATCAACTGGATCTAGGAATCTCATGGTCAGTTAGTTGTTCGTTTTATCTAGACAAGTCGAGGTTTTCTATAACGGTTTCTGTCTTTAGCAGAGAGAATTTTGTTTGATCAGGAATGTAAACTATACTTATCTATGGGAATAGAAGGACAAATATGCAGAAAGCAGTTAGAAATTATATTGGTTTAGTGAATTAGTGGTAGAAGATTCTTCTCTAAGATCTTTAATTTTTTAATTTTTTATTTTTTATTAATTACAGTTTATTCACTTTGTATCCCCCCATAAGCTCCTCCTTCCTCCCCTCCCAGCCCCACCCTCCCTCCCCCTTCTTCTTGATTGCCCCTCCCAAGTCCATTGATAGGAGAGGTCCTCCTCTCCTTCCTTCTGATCTTACTCTATCAGATCCCATCAGGAATGGCTGCATTGTCTTCTTCTGTGGCCTGGTAGTGCTGCTCTCCCCTCAGGGGGAGGTGATCAAAGAACAGGCCTATCAGATTATGTCAGAGGCATTCCCTCTTCCCATTACTATGGAACCCACTTGGATACTACGCTCTCTGTGCAGGGGTTCTAGTGGGACTTGGAAAGGATCATCCTGAGTGAGCTGTCCCAGAAGCAGAAAGACACACATGGTATATAATCACTCATATAGACATATAACATAGGATAAACCTACTAAAACCCTGAACATCTAAAAAAACTAATCAAGAGAGCCGACCCTGACTAAATGCTCAATCCCCATCCTGATAGGCAAAGAGGAGAGACATCAGAAGAAGAAGAAAACAGGAAACAACCTAGGAACCTGCCACAGAGGGCCTCTGAAAGGCTGTGCCCTACAGACTATCAAAGCAGACACTGAGGCCAACTGACGGGCAAAGTGCATGGAATCTTAAGTAAGAAGTGGGAAATAGTAAGATCTGGAGAAGACAGGAACCCCCCAAGGAGAGCAACAGAACCAGATAATTTGAACACAGGGGTCTCCCCAGGGACTCATATTCCAACCAAGGAACATGCATGAAGATCTTTGATTTTGATAGTTCTAGGTAGTTGGCTTAGTTTCCAGTACCAAACAGCATTTCCTATCTGTTGAGTAGGCCTTAAATTCAATTAGATAGATATTGATTACTTCCAAGATATGCCACTATCATACCATTAGTGATATCTGATGATGCTGGTCATTGCTGTGATTCCTACACATCACATCTGGGTAGGACTATTGGTTATTTCCTTCATTTGGCCACTTAGACAACACCTTCCAGCACTATAACAGCTAGTACTCAAGGAGGAGGTTAGATCCCCCTCAGACCTTCCAAGTCCTGTGTTCAAAGTGCATGGTGTCTTCAGCAATAGGGAATTACCTTCAACCTCTAGGAGACAACAAATGCAAAGTCAAAAGTCTGTATTATATTGAAAGTCTCTTGGACAGCCCTGACTAAGTGATGCTATTTCTTCTGCTTCGTACTTGTTTTTTTGTTTTGTTTTTGTTGTTGTTTTTTTGAGAATGTATTTATCTTTGTGTGTGCACTGTCATCCCAACTATAAAGATTTGGAGCTAGAAACCAAAGGTAGGACAGAAAATGTGGCAATAAATACAATATTTTCTAGCTTGAGCCATTTCACCTGCAAAGTTTACAGTCTTATCTTTTTTCTGCTAAATTAGTTTATTTGTTCCACATTTTTGTTATTCACACATCAGTTGAAGAATGTTTAGGTTTTGTCTGTTTCCTAGATGTTACGAAGTTAGTGGTAGTGAGCATGGATGTGCAAATACCCTTTTGAAAATATGCCTGGGGTATGTGATTTTCAGCTTTATTATAAGATTATGTTGGAAATATGAAAATAATTGAGTATAGGATGGGTAGGTGTTTAAGAAGTCCACATTATGTGTGTCAAACTGGGCATGGGAGGAAAGGAGGTCTCACAGACTTAGTAATTTGGTTTCTAACCTAATAATTGTAAAAAAAATAATTGTAATAATTGTAAGTACATCACCAATATTTTCTAAATAGAAAAAAAAACATTTTGAGAATTTCCTACCCCACCTCCAATTGGTTATCCTATACCAAGTGCTCATACAGGAACAACAATGCAAAAAAGGCCATGAATTTGGCAGAGACCAAGGGGGTGCACGTGATGGGTTCAAGAGAAGAAAAGTTACGATATTACTATATTATAGTCTGCCATGAACTCAGTGGCAGGCTCTCCGGTCACCTCCCTCTGGGGGTTGCAGCCTTGCCAGGCCACAGAGGAAGACATTGCAGACAGTTCTGATGAGACCTGATAGGCTAGGGTCAAATGGAAGGGAAGGAGGACCTCTCCTATTAATGGGAGGGGCATAGGTGGAGAAGATGGAGGGAGGCAGAATTGGGAGGAGATGAGGGAGGGGACCATAGCAGGGATACAAAGTCAATACATTGAGAACTAATATTTTTTTTTTTATGTGTCTAACAAGTTCTGCTTGCCTTGATGTATCTTCATGATTGCTAGGTGAATTTTAGTCACTGTACTTATTTAGTAAAAAAGAAAAGAAGTTAAATAAGCCTCGCTTTGTCCTGGATATAATGTAGTATGTAACACATCTAGGTAAAATGATCTAGTAAGGTATGCTGGAGATTTGTGTTTCCGAGGTCTGTAATTACAGGCATCATAGACAAATAGCTAGATATAAGTATCTTCATTCCTGATCACTCTACAGTTTCTTTTCAATTTTAATCACAGAAATAATTAGCTAAATAATATATAATAAATAAGGTTAGGATTATATTATACATCCTTTAGGTAATTGTTTCTATGGTTCAAATTAACATAATATTGCATACTATATTAATATTTAAAGGATATGTAATATCTTCATGTATATTTATATAATAGAAATTTTTTAGTAGTTAACCAGGTAAAGGACTTGACTTATCATGAAAGGGCTATTAATTAATCATGTGTAACTAGTAGTGGGGATTCCTAGGGAGAGCTTGACAACTACCACTCAGTTTGAGCATCATTTAGATACTTAGGACTGTGTCAGACTACATGGCACCAGATAATTTAGGAATTATTAAAGTAATTTCTATAATTGTTATCAGGAAATAGGTTCATAACATATATATGCTTCATCATTTAAACATTTTAAAATCTATTTCTCTTATTTTTTATTTATTTGCTTTAAAGAATTTTTCAATTGTATTTACTAGTCGTTTTGTGTGCATGTGTTGGGGACACGCACTTGAGAGGAAAATCATGTGGAAGTTTTAAGACATCTGTGTAAGTCAGTTCTGGGCATGTCCTGTGGGTACTGGGGTTCAAGTTAAGTCATCCGGCTTGGTGGACGGTGCCTTTACATAAAGCAACCCTGCCAGTCCTGCTTTCCTTTTAGATGGCCTGAATATAAGCCATGATACTCTGGGCTTAGGAGATATTCCCTCGTGGTGCATGACAGCAAAGAGTACTGGAATATAATTTGTGGAGAATTTGTTTCAAACTTCTGTTCAACCTAAATGTTTTGATTTGATCTTTTTTGAAGTCTTTGCGATCTAAATTTAAGGAAGATGTGAATTCAACCAGAAAACATGCCAAAATAAAGAACATCATTATTAATCCGATCATGCGTAAAACAATGCTGTGTTTTTCCAGCGTAATGTGAGTAGTGTCACCCATCCCTTTGGTCTTCTAACACAAGGTCAGCTGCTTCAGCATAATGCTAAGCCCTTTGAGGAATGTCTGGGGTAAACAAACACCTTCTTTCCTCCTTTATTCAAGACAGTAGAAACAAAAATCATATTCAGGAAAAAATTTTAAACAATTCATTTGGGCCATGATTTTTGAAATGGTTTATGGAATGGTTGCAATGTTCAGGAACTGTAGAAATGTAACCATGAATTAAAAGGCAATCTAGACCTCAACTAATTTTCACTAAATGAAGAGAATGACAAAGCAAGTTTTCAATTAAACTGTTCAATTTCATTTATACTGCAATACAGTAAGCTTACATACATGACATTGAAATCAAATCCACACAAACTTCAAGTTTTGCTCAAGGCTAAGCATCATGAGTTTCTGGTTTAATCTCCAATTATGACAAATGTGCATCTTTGCAGCCCACTGGGCAATTGTACGAAAACAGTGGAAGGGACAGAATCAGTTTGAGTGATAATACATTTCCACAAGACAATACAGGTTAAAATTTACAGATTTCTCCAGTGAACTTACTTCTAGTCAAAATTACAGGATAAGAAAAGAAGACCCCAGGATAAATCATTTGACTTTCCTAAATATACACGTACTGCATGGTCAGTTTTTTGTACTGTACCAAGAGTGGCAAGAGAAAGATGGTGAGCCCATGCTTTTCTAGACAAAACAAAAACAAAAACAAACAAAACATTGTCACTAAAAACTGCTTCATTCTTCTCTACACTTCAAATGTGGTGTAAGTTCAGAATGTTTTTTAATATAAATTTATTTATATAACCTCTATTTGATTTACTGACAATTTTTATAATGATCTTATTTTCATATTTTTCCTAAGTAATTTCTGTGACATTATAAAAGTCCATTTCATTCCATATTTGGAATGCTCAGTTTTAGTTTTTAAATGAAATTATGCACACACACACACACACACACACTCATTGACCCCATAATAAAATGTTTTGATTGCTCAGTTGGTTGAATGTGTCTATGTGCTTTCTCCCAGTTTTGCAGAAATTTTCAGCTCTTTTGGCATCTTGTTGGATATTCGAATTTTGGGAAAGAACATATTCCTCACCCAGTTTCTCCTGGGAGCAGTAGACATACCCAGCAAATTACTCACATACTTTGCACTAAGGCATGTAAGACGCCGTCCTTTAACAGCTTATTTGCTCCTTTCAGTTGGAAGCTGTATTACCATCACCATGTTTCTACCTGAAGGTGAGACTTCCTTGGTATCCCAGAATCTTATTATTAGTGTATATCTATGTAGACATGACTTTCCAAATAGATCATGTAACTGACGCTGCTGCCTAGAAGGACACTAGACTATTTATTTAGATGTTTATTTTATTTTCAATTACGTGTGTGTATATGTGTGCGCACATGCATGCCACGTGCATGTGCCAGCATGTGTGTGTATGCTCTATGTGAATGTACAGGTACTTGAATGCGCGGGTCTATGAACGTGGGCGCCCTAGGAAGGAGGAATGTAACTGTTAGAGGTAGATGTGAATGATGTGGTTTTTATTTCCTCCTATAAAGGGGTGAGTTAAGAGACTTACCCAAGCTGTACAAATACACTGCTTGGGCTGAGCCCAGAGCATTTCTTTCTTTATTTTAGCTACCCCTAGGCCTAGGCCTGGAAGCTTCTAACATCTGGACAATCTTCTGTAAACCCAATCCTTGAAAGTTTCAGCTTCCAGTCTCCACCTCCTAACTTAGGCCTACAACGCTTCAACCTCTGAGACTTCCTGCTGAATAAACTCACTTTCACTGGCTGGTTCAACTCAGCTGTTCAGGTCCAAGCTCCTCTCCAAACAGACTGATTCAATCTTCCTTCTCTCTTAGCTTCTGACTGAATTGCTTTGCTTTGCTGCAAACTAATTCTGGCAATTTGTTCTAATCTTCTGGCTTCTCATTCTCTGGCTTATTCTTTCTCCAACCTGCTTCTATAAAACAGTCCTGGTGAAACTGCCACACAATACTCTCACTGCACTCCTCCACCTCCCCTTCCTCCTCTTGTTGCTCCTCCTCCTCCTCTCACTGTGATGCTTTTAAGTAACCTTTGTTTCCTGTGCTGCTCTTATGAAAAAGTGGTGTATCCCTAGTCATCCATTCTAACCTTTCTCTTTCATCTCATTGTCTGCTCCTCATTTAGACATCACTTTCAAACTTGCCTGCTCTCTTCTATAAATGAATCTTAACTTTCATTGTTTGGGATTAAAGGTGTGTAGTCAGTGAATATCTATATTCCAGCCAGATCATATAGACCTAGAAGAACTTTAGATGTGATATGTTGATAAAGCAGACATGTTGCTGGATTAAAATTCTACATAAGAGATATTGGATCACCTGGCAATGGAGTTTTAGCAAGCTGGTCATAAACTACTTACTGTGGGGGCTGGGAAAAAATATGATCCTCTGCAAGAGCAGTAGGTTCTAACACCTGAGCTGTTTTTCCAGCTCCCTATTTACTGATTTAAAGAAAATTTTCATATCTTAATATTAATTGATTTATTTATATTGATATGAAATCAGTGGAAGGGATAGAATTACTACAAGTGATTCTTCTACAAAACAATCAAAGTTAAAATTTGTAGCTTTCTCCTGTGAGATTTACTTCTAGTTAAATTTCAGGATAAGAAAAATGATCACAGAAAAAAATTATATGATTTTCATAAATGTGCATGAATTGCTTAGAGAACCCTTGCACTAGATTAAGAGTAACAGGAGGGGAGATTGAACACACAAATCTCTATGACATTCTCATAGTATACATTTGGAAGTCAATAAAACTTGCATTAGTTGGTTCCCTTCTACAGCTTGGGCTTCAGGGACCAAGATCAGGTCTTAAGGTTTGGTGGCACCTTTACCAGCTTAGCCATGCTAGCAGCTCTGCACTCTACTTCTAAGTCTCGACATTATAAATTCTGTGAATTTCTTAATAAGAAGGATTCCAGCTTTATAGCTTCCTTTAAACCTGGAAGCTCTAAATCAGATTCTACTAGGATCTAATTATGTATCATCAGTGAAAGCACAGTCGTGTGTGGAAGGCCTATATCAACAATATTGCTTGGCATGAAGACAGCATGGGGAAAGAAAAGTAACTACACATGAGTAGTTAGAAGAATCTCTCTGGTGCCATTCAGAGAACCCCTAAATCCAAATAGGTATTATTTGGTGAAGAAGCACAAAAAAATGATGTAGGAGAAAGATACACCAGGAAGTGGCAGGAAGACATGTGGTTTGAAAAATTAGTGTCATTGTGTTAATTACCTGTAAATAATGAGAAGGTAAGAGATAAGGAAAGACTTGATTACAGAGTATTTTCATTATCTAGAAGGTATTCTATTGAAGCTATTCACCAATGGGAAAGGTTCTGCTGGAACGACTGTATCTCAGAGTATTTATTTAAATAATGTAAGGCTGAAACAATGGACTATGACTAGGCTGCATTGTAGACAGGTAGGATAGATGAAGGAAAGCTGTCTTAGAAAGAGAAAAGAGGGCATATGAAGTCTGTTAGCTCCCTTTTGTGCTTGTGAGTAGTACCTGCCAGGGAGTAACTTAAAGGAAGGGATTTATTTTCATTTGACGGGATACAGTCACTATCATGGTGGTGAAGGCATCATGGCCAGTGGCTCCATGAAAGCATGAGTGTGTGGCTAGGACTCTTTACCTTCTAACATCTTGGTGAAATAAGAAACCTAAAGGAGACAGGAAGCAGGACTGAGTTGTAAACTTCAAGTATCCAATGATGTGCTTCCTCAGGGATACTCCACCTACACATACATAGACACACACAGACACAGATACAGACACACACACAGGAATTGGGTAAACTGGGATCTTTGTTGGAGAAACTGTAGCATCCTGGAAACTCACTGTATTTTTAATACAATACACAGTTGAATACAGAGGCAAAGTTTTTACATATAGATAGGCCATAAGGTGGGATTATGACATATGATAAAAAAAAAAGGACAGAGTTATACATAGCTGAACAAAGAGGTAGGCATAGCTAACTTCAATAGGAGCACTCTGTAGGGGAGAGGGTCTCAGGCCATAAATATCTTGGGGGAGAGAGCAACAGTGGACACTTCTTGCACACACTGTCAACATTTTCACAAGACTACAGGAAGGCTGTGCCATCCCTGAGAGTCTAACCCTACAAGAGAAGTGAGTGTTAACATTTTCCCATGAGTCTGAGTCTAGGGTTCTTGAAATAGCCTGCTCATTTCCACAACACACACTCACCCAAGACTCCATTCACTTAGAATGGTCTACTTTCCACAATCATATCTAAGTACTCTGTCTTTATTTCTGTTGATGCCTCTGTTCATTTTTACCCAAATTATTTGAATTTTTGTTAAGCATTTTTAGCAGTCCTTTAATTTTTTATTTTTTTATATTAGTTACAGTTTATTCACTTTGCATCCCAGCTGTAGCCTCCTCCATCATTCCCTCCCAATCCCATCCTCCCTCCCTCATGTCCTCCCTGACCCTCTCTAAGTCCACTAATAGGGGAGGTCCTCCTCCCCTTCCATCTGACCCTAGCTTATCAGGTCTCTTCAGGACTGGCTGCAATGTCCTCCTCTGTGGCCTAACAAGGCTGCTCCTCCCTCGGGGGAGGGGGAAGAGGTCAAAGAGCCCACCACTGAGTCCATGTCAGAGTTAGTCCCTGTTCCCCTTACTAGGACACCCACTTGAGTGCTAAGCTGTTTGTTCCCGTTCTATAGATTATATTTTCACTCTATTGGATTTCACATGCCTTGTTCCATGTCTTTAAGGAAAGTTTCATATTTTATTGTTGAATGTGATTTTGGAAGTGGATCTTTACATATGACTTTAGTCATATCAAGACAAGTTCATTTTATGCATAATATTTCAATTAAAAAAGATTTTAAAAATTATTTCGGTGTTTTTTTGTTATAGTCTGGCTTGTTTTTATATAATTTTATTATTTTTTCTTTTTTAGGTTCCTATTTTGTTTCTAATGAAAGATAGCAAGAAAGGATGTGGATTTGAGTGGAGAAAAAGTAGAGAGAATATACAAGGAGTTACAGGAGGGAAACATAATCAGAATAGATTTTCAAAAGTAGTTCTTGATTCAAGATAATGGCTTGGTTGTTATATTTTAGAAAATATTTGTAGTTTTTTTTAATTAGAGGTTAATAAATATTGACAAAGTAAGCATTTTCTCCTCTTAACATGGTTTTCAGAGATGCATGTCCTGCGGCTTATTATTTTCCTTTTGGCAAAAGGATCTTATGCTGCTTCCCTTTGTGTATTTTCGGTCTACAACCAGGAACTCACACCAACAGCACTCAGGTGAGAAAAGAAATCACAACAGTTCATCCTGAATATTGTTGGAAGCATCTAGATAGTGTAAATGAGTAGAACAGGCATCATTTTAAGAGGCATTTCCGGCATTTAGCCTAGTTTACAAAAGGTTCGATGGTTTGCTGGGAAAATAGGTATTCCATTTCTTTTGGAAGGAATAGTCTATGGATATCTGTTAGGTCTATTTAATTCATACTGTTGTTTAGCTCTGAAGTGCATGCTGATCTTTAGTTTGGATGACCTTTGTCTTAGGGTTACTAACTAAGCAACTTAGGGTGGGGAAAGTTTATTTAGTGTATACTTCCACATCATAGTTCATCATCAAATGAAGTCAGGACAGAAAAGAAGCTCAAGCAGAGCAGAACCCTGCAGGCAGGAGCTGGTGCAGAGGCCATGGAGTAGCACTGCTTACTGGCTTGCTCTAAGTGGCTTGCTCAGCTTTCATTTTTGTAGACCTTAAGACCACCAGCCCAGTAATGGCACCACCCACAATGGTCTGTACCCTCCTATTCAATCACTAATTAAGAAAATGCCCTACAGGCTTGTCTACAATCAGACTGTATGGATGCATTTTCTTTTCTAATTTTTCTATTTATTACAATTTATTCACTTTGTATCCCTGCTGTAGCCTCCTCCCTCCTCCCTTCCCAATCCCACCCTCCCTTCTTCTTCTCCCTCCATGCCCTTCCCCAGTCCACTGATAGGGGAGGTCCTTCTCCCCTTCCATCTGATCCAAGCCTATGAAGTCTCATGAGGACTTGTCTGCATGGTCTTCCTCTGTGGCCTGGTAAGGCTGTACCCCCGAGGGGGAGGTGATCAAAGAGACAGCCACTGAGTTCATATCAGAGACAGCCCTTGTTCCCATTACTAGGGAACCCACTTGGAGACTAAGCTGCCATGAGCTACATCTGTGGAGGGGTTCTAGGTTATCTCCATGAATGGTTCTTGGTTGGAGTCTCAGAAAAGATCACCATGCCCAGATTTTTTGGTTCTGTTGCTCTCCTTGTGGCTCTCCAGTCCCCTCCAGGTATTTCTATCTCCCCCTTCTTCCATAAGATTTCCTGCGTTCTGCTCAGCCTTTGGCTATAAGTCTCAGCATCTGCTTTAATACCCTGCTGGGTAGAGGCTTTGAGAAGCCTTCTGTGGTAGGCTCCTGTACTGTCCCCCTGCATTTTCTTAATTTGGGTTCCCTCCTTTTAGATACCTTTAGCTTGAGTCAAGTTGACACAAAATTATACAGTACAAACTGTCTAAATGTGAGTGAGATATATGTGATGTGATATGATGTGATGTGATGTGATGTGATATGTAGGTCTCTCTTTCTGCATATGTATGTGTGTGTTTGTGTGAGTGTATCTGTGTATGTTTAGGTTTATGAGTCATTAAAGTAAAAAAAAATAGAAAGGAATATACATGAGGGGAGAAGAGAAGGAAAAAGAGAGAATAATGAAGTGCATGTGACATGAAAAGGTGGGAAATCTGTTGGGGGAAGAACCTGGAGCAGGAGGATGAGGAAGGAAAAATGGGAGGAAAGAGAAATAATGACAAAGCAAAGTTACAAATGTATGAAAATATCTTAACTAAACCCATTATCTCATAAAGCCCACTTAAAATATTAAATAAATAGAAAGGATCCTCCAACAACATTCAGAGATAAATCATTGACATTTAAGCAGCAGTTGAAAGAATAATTCAGCAGGTAGAAATATTCTGTCATATTGCCCCAAGTTCCTCTACATCACCATACTTTTAAAACTCTGGTCATGTGTAAATTGCAGAACACAGACTATTATCTTCTTACTCTATCTCTTCAGGCTTAAAATAATAACCTAGCTTAGCCTATTACTTTGCATTGCTGATGGCTCAAAGAAAACTTGTGTGCAAACTTTGAAAGGCGCTTTCCTGAAGTTGTTTTCATGTACAAAACCAAAATGTTGCATACTGAGGAATGGTTGACTTATAGCACCATAACTGGTCCTATGACACAGCTTTAAACATGCATATATGTCCAAGAAGATTAGAGCTTCATGTTCAACACTGAGCCTTTCCTTTGCAAAACTGAGCCTTTATGTTTGTTTGCCAAACATAACACTCAACTCAGTATTCCTTACTAGTGAATTTTCCATTACCAATGGAAGAACTTTCTAAGTTTTCTATCTTCAAATAAAGAATCTTGGAATATCTGGAATATGTAAACCATTTAACGTTTAATGGGAGAATATCAGGCAACATGGAAAAGGAAACTTATTTTGGAAAAGTTACTGAAAATCTTACTTTTTGGTTTATGGTTTACATTTCTTTGTGGTGGACTTTCCTCCTTCTCCTCTTCCTCTTCGAGCTTTTACTGAAAATAGCTTATTTTCTCACATAATATATTATGATTATGACTTTCCCTCTCTCTATTTCTCCCAGAGTCACCCACCTCCTTTCCCATCAGAATATGCTCCCTTTCTGCCTCACATTAAGAAAAACAACACGTTTTTAGAAGATAATAATAAAATACAACAAAATAAAATATTATGAGGTTTAACAACCCCCTCCCAGAAAACCTATCAAATCAGTTAAACAAGACTGACAAACAAAAGGAAAAGATTCTAAGAAAAGGCACAATAAACAGAAACCCACTTTTTTACACATTCAGTGATCCCATGAAACACTAAACTTTAAGCCATAATATGTACACAAAAGGTCTAAAACAGACCTGTGCAGGCTCTGTGCTTGCTGCACCAGACTCTGTTAATTCATGTAAGCTTTTCTCATGTTGATTTAGAGGGCCTTGTTTTCTTGATGTCCTCCATCCCAACTGGCTTTTACATTCTTTTGTCATCAAGATTCCCTAAGATCTGAGGGGAAGCATTTGATGAAGACATCCCACTTTGGGCTGAGTGTTCTCTCTCTCTCTCTCTCTCTCTCTCTCTCTCTCTCTCTCTGTGTGTGTGTGTGTGTGTGTGTGTGTGTGTGTGTGTGTGTGCAAGTGATGCCTGGCTTTGGGTCGCTGTATTTGTTTCCATCTCCTGCAGGAGGAAAATTTTCTGATTAGGGCCAAAGAAAGTACAAATCTATGAGTATAGCAGAATTTTATTAAAAGTCACTTTTCTCTACTTTTAAAAAAATTCAAGCCCAGTGGTATGTGGTTTTACCCTAGGTCCTTGAGCTACGGAGTATCTGGCTCTGGGTGTCCAGTATGAGTGCTATTTCCTGGCGTGAGCCTTATGTCAAATGAGACATTGTTTGGTTACTTCCCAAGCTTTGCGCCACCATTGCCTTACCATATCCTGAAGGCATGACGTCATTATAGATACAATGGCAACATGGGGACCTCCTGTAGCATCCAATATTTATTTTCTTACTCCTTTATTTTACTAAACAAAAAATTTGTAGATTACTTTTGGTCAGTTGGTCATTTTTACTATGTTAATCCTACCAATCTATGATCTTTCCATTTTCTCATATCTTCTTCGATTTTTTCAGAGACTCAAAGTTCCTCTTATACAGGTCTTTCACTTGCTTGGTTACAGTTACACACCAAGATATTTTATATTGTTTATGGTTATTATGAGGGTGTTGTTTTCCTATTCTCTTTCTTAGCCTGTTTATTGTTTATATACAGAGGGGCTACTAATTTTTTGAGATAATTTTTTATCTAGCCACTTGCTGAAAGTGTTTATCAGCTGTAGAAATTCTCTGGTAAAAATTTTGGGGTCACTTACGTATAATATCCTATCATCTGCAAATAGTGCTACTTTGACCTCTTCCTTTCCAATTTGTATGCCCTTGATCTCCTAGCAGTAGGGCATAAGGAGTCTGAACTGGACATCTCCTGTAGCCAGGCAGGACTTCCAGTGGAGGGATAAAACACTAACTCACTCACAAAACCTTTAACTCAAAATTTGTCCCGCCTATAAGATGTGCAGGGACAAAGATGGAACAAAAACTGAGGAAATGACCCATGCTGAATACTCCATACTAAAATAACATCCGTGTTTATTTTAACTTTCGATTTAGTTTATCTTATTTTATCAAGTTATCCTAATATTGCGTTCCATGAACATTGATACAATATCTGTTTTGTCCATTTTACAGAGGACAAAAGTAAAAATAACAGTGTATGTATACTGTGTCAGCAACAAAATCTATAGCTTTAAACACCATGTACTATGTCCAAGAGAAGCAAAAGTCTGTGTCTGTATGAAAATAATGCTTATTATGGGACACTAGAAGGCACTGGGATATATATGACATGTATACAACATTAGCAGCACTGAATGCTGGAAAACCCATGTTGGCCATGGGTGATCTCAGATATCTGTACTGAAAATGTTGCGCTTCAATAGACCAAGCTTCTCGATTCAGGTTTGGCATTTCTGTTCTCTTTTTGAAGGTCAACTCTAGCTGGCATTTATAGCATGGTTTTTCGATTGGCAGGAATGCTGTCTGCCCTCGTACTTGTTACAAGAAATTATTTTGTACACCTTCCCATGATTCTCTATGGAATCCTACCCATAGTAGCAATAATCAACGTCTACTTTCTGCCGGAGACCTTTAATCTTCCATTTATTGACGATATCAAGGATATGGAGAAAAGGTGAGATCTTGTGTTGGTGCAGTTTCGTGGAAAGGAAAGTTGTGCAATTTTAAAATAGTTTAGGATTACATGGTAGACTTATACACTCTAATTTGATAAGAGTAAGAATAGAATATTTTGTTAATATTATATCTAGTAATACATGAATATCTATAAGATACACAACTCTGATTTCCTTTTACAAAATAATTTTATTATATACATTTATGTATTTAAATAACAAATGTCTTAGTATCTTATAGAACTTTGCAACTTAAAAAGTGTTTATTTGTCTATTATTTTATATAATCTATGATTTGGAATGTATAATTTCTATATTTCATGCTAGAAAATTTAGTATCATCTATCTATCTTCTATTTATCATCTATCTATCTACATCTATCTATCTATCTATCTATCTATCTATCTATCTATCTAGTCAGATAATTTATATGTATACTATAAAATCAGAAATATATATGTGAAAATTCAAAACCAGAATTTCAAGCCAAATCTTATTTTATTTCTGCTTTTCCTAATGGGCTTAAATGTTATACATTAAGCATTATCATCATATTGCACAATCATTTTTTATTTTATAAATATCCTGGTTGTAGTCCCATTCCTTCTCCCCTCACAGTTCCACCCTTTCTCCCCCTTTCCCCCTTCTCCCTGCCTATTCCTCAGAAAAGGGAAGCTCCCTTTCCCATACATCCCAGCTCATCAAATTGCATTCCTGGGTGGCTTTCTGGATTATGTTTAGATATCTTTCTTGTACAGTCCACAACTGGCTGCCTAGAATATGGCACTGCCCACAGTGGGCTGGACCTTCCTATAACAACCAATAACTCCTGTCCGCCCAACAATCTGTCCACAGGCCAATCTGATCTGTGCTAAAATTCCCTTCTCAAGTGTTGCTTTGCTATGTCAAATGAAAACTTAAAGTTAACATGACAATATTCACATAATTATTCACTTGGTAGGAGTAAAAGTGTTTCTTTATTAAAATAAATCATACCGTATACCACCTTAAGCATCATCTCCGTATGACTAGTTTGTTTCCAGTCAAGTTTATCTTTTCATTGTTTGCCTAATGTATGTGCTGACACAGTGACTGACATAGATCTGCTGACATGCCAGATGTCCACTACACTTTTTGTTCTTTAGACTATAGTTTTCAAACCAAGATGACAGGAATGCCTCATGTTTCATATATCTTTTTTCATAAGCATGTATTATTCGGGGAAAGTAACACTTTTCTGGTATGCCAAAAAAATGAACATTGAATTAAAGTGTAAAGCTTTGAACTTTACTTGTAAAAATATCTGTTTTAAGTAACTGTGTAAGTTGGGTGAGTTATAAAAGATCGCAGAGTTCCACTTAAACATCTTTCAAATGGTAATGTTAATTCAAGACTATTTCTTTTCTTTTTTTTTTCACAGTACTAGAGGAAGGTTTATTTAGACAGATTTATGTCCACATGAAACGCTTAGACTTGCATCCTAGTACATATGGAATTCTGAGTTTATTTTTGTGTGAGTGTTTTATTTTTTTATAATTTTTATTTTTTTATATTAGTCACAGGTTATTTACTTTGTATCCCAGCTGTAGGCTCCACCCTCATTCCCTCCCAATCCCACCTTCTCTCCCTCATCAATTTCCTGCCCCTTTCCAAACCCACTGATAGGAGAGGTACTCCTTCCCTTCCATCTGACCCTAGCTTATCAGGTATCTTCAAGATTGGCTGCAATGTCCTCCTCTGTGGCCTAGCAAGGCTGCTCCTCCCTCGGTGGTGGTGAGGGTCAAGGTGGTGGGGGTCAAAGAGCTAGCCATTGAGTTCATGTCAGAAATAGTCTTTGTCCATACTAGAGAACCCACTTGGATACTGAGGTACCATGGGCTACATCTGAGCAGGGGTTCTAATTTATATTCATACATGATCTCAAGACTATTTCTTTAAGAATATGTTTCACAGGACAGGAGCCTACCACAGAGGGCCTCTGAAAGACTCTACCCAACAGGGTATCAAAGCAATGCTGAGATTCTTAATCAAACTTTGGGCAGAGTGCCTATGAAAGAAGGGGGATAGTGGGATCTGGAGAGGACCGGAGCTCCATAAGGAGAGCAACAGAACCAAAATATCTGGGCACAGGGGTCCTTTTTGACATTGTTACTCCATACTAGGACCATTCATAGATATAACCTAGAACCCCTGCTCAGATGTAGCCCATGGCAGCTCAGTATTCAAGTAGGTAGCCTAGTAAGGGGAACAAGGACTGTCTCTGACACAAACTCAGTGGAGGGCTCTTTGACCCCTCCCGTGAGGGGTTAGCAGCCTTGCCAGGCTACAAAGGAGGACAATGCAGCCAATCCTGATGAGACCTGATAAGACAGGGTCAGATGGAAGTGGAGGAGGACCTCCCCTATTAGTTGACTTGGAGAGAGGAATGGGAGGAGATTAGGGAGGGAGGGGATTGGGAGGGAATGAGATGGGATACAAAGTGAATAAACTGTAATTAATATTAAAAATACAATTTTAATTAAAAAATTTCCAAGTTAAGAAAAAGAATATCTTTCAAAGTCTGAATGAGTTTTTAAGAGAAATGTGTAATCTCTAAGTGTGTAGTACAAGAAAACATCATTTATATATTTTTAACATTTCGCTTGCACCTTTATGCCCATTCATCTGCTGTTTTTCCTATTTTTTTGATTCTAGGAGTGGATTGATAAACAAAAGCATCAGCAAAAAAGAAGAGCAAGACTTCTTGGAAACTACTGAGTGCTAAGAAACCAAACCCACAGGATTTTCATTCTTTATTTTGTTCTGTACACAAGAGCCTTTACCGGTTGATGTGCAGTCACAAATATACTCATTAAATGAACCTATTGCAAAAGCAAATCTCTCAGTGGTCAGTCCATAATATAGATACAAATCCTAAGGTTTTATCAAATACCAGAGTACTAGTTCCGTTAATGAAAAATTTAAAACAGATCTGTGCAATAAATCCTTTGTCTTAGTATTAAATGGAATAGGGTCTTCTTAAAACTGAAAATTGAGAACATATTATTTAAAATACAACTGATTCTGTGCTTGTCCTGAAATGTGTGTATTTTGATTAAGAAATCTTAATGAGAATATGCTCGGGAAATTTACAGACTATGCTGAACATTGTAATAATTATTTAGAGAATAAATTCACTGCTATGATATTTAATTGCACAGTAATTATTTTAAAAACTCTATCATATTGCTAGTCACATGTACAATGAGTTTGGAATTAACAAGTTTGTAGACATCGAATGGAAATATAATAGTAATAACTAGAATTGAGCATCATTATAACTAGGGCATATAAGCTCAGACATTCTTACCATTTTCAGTAGTGAACAGTGAGTTAAGTACATCTCGTGAGGGGTAAAATTAATGTATTACCAGATGTTGAAAAGCTCATGATCAATATTTGCATTCCCTATACAAGTTTTATAATAAAATCTGGAGTAGCTGAAACAAATTACACATACTCATGGGGCTCAGATTTTTGACACTGTGGAAACCTCTAGGTCAGGTTATTGTTTTGTGGGCTATATTTTATAGTTCATACGAATCACAGGCATGACTCATAATCCTCCTCCATGAATTCCGTAAGAAATGAAACATGAGACACAAATGGTGAACATGAATGGGGGGAGCAAAAATGAATTAAAGTGAATAAGTTTTTCAAATTCAGGATACTTGATAAAATTAAAGGCTTATTTTCCACTGTAGTTATTTATAAACCACTTCCTATTTTCTGAAAGTTCTTTGTAATAAGAATAGTGACATTTTCTCCCTGAAGATGATGTATGTTTGGAGAGAGATTGTACTATTCATATGTTCCTATGCCTACAGTTACTCAAGGAGAAACTGTTTACTAAATTCATTCTCTAAATTATCTTATTGTGGATGTCAATAGATTGTGTTTGTGCATGCATAGCAGTAATTCATTGTGTGGTGTGTCAGTTTGTTTAACCATCATCCCATTGGAGAGCTCCTATTTTGTTTCCACTGTTTAGCTATCATAAGAAATGTGGCTAACTATGCTATTCATCCATTTCTCACAGCTCCAAGTGTTTTATGATGGGAAGACACTGAAATTTTAGAAGTGAGAGTATAGAATCATTAAAGCAAACAGAGATAAACAATCATTTTTGTAAGGTAGAATTTAGGGACAGAAACAGCTTCAGCACCCAATATACCTGAAAGGGAGTAAGTATAGACTATGACTGAGGTGAGAGAAATAGTGAAAGACTCAGAAAACAGCATTGACAGCAGTGCCAACACTAGGCAGAAACACAGTCTCACCAGATGTGGGTTTGGAGTCTGTAGTGTTCTGACTCATGCCAATTTCTCTCTTCTTTCTCTAGCATTAGGTTGCACTGATGGACTGGGACACCATTTTGAAATAATTCATCTGAGTCTTTGGCTTGGAACTCAAAGCCTCTCTATTGGTCTGTGCCCAGGACCTCTAAGCATAGATCATGAACTGATCCTATGATCCTAAAAGTGATAGCCTTAAGAGAAAAGAAATTATTAGGCCATGAGAAGCAGGTAAGACATGTAGGAGGGGATGTGGTTGATTCCTCTTCATGGCCATTAATTAGGATAGCCTGTGCTGTTGGTGTTCTGTTCAGGAAGTTGCCTCCTGTTCAAATAAGTTCAAGGCTCTTCCCCACTTTTTCTTCTCATAGGTTTAGTGGGTCTGGTTTTATGTTGAGGTCTTTGATCCAATTGGACTTTAGTTTTGTGCAGGGTGATAAATATGGCTCTATTTGCATTTTCCTACATGTAGATATCCAGTTATCATTTGTTGAAGATGCTATCTTTTTTTCCGTTGTGTTGTTTTGACTTCTTTGTCAAAAATCATGCATCCATAGATGTGTGGGTTTATTTTTAGTCTTCCATTCAATTCCATTGATCCTCCAGACTGTTTCTCTGCAAGTACCATGCAGTTTTTATTACTGTTGTTTTATAGTACAGCTTGAGATCAGGAATGGAGATACCTCCAGAAGATATCCTATTGTACAGGATTGTTTTAGCAATTCTGTGTTTGTTAGTTTGTTGCTGTTGTTTTTGTTTTTGCTTTTCCAAATGCAATTGAGAATTGTTTTGTAAAGAATTGTGTTGGTATTTCATGGGAAATTCATTGACTCTGTAGATTGCTTTTAGCAGGATAGCCATTTTCTGTTAATCCTACCAATCCACAAGCATGGGAGAGCCTTCCATCTCCTGATATCTTCTTAATTTCTTTCTTCAGAGACTTGAAGTTTTTTTCAAACAAGTCTTTGACTTGCTTGGTTTGAGTCACCCCAATATGCTTTATGTTATTTGTGGTTATTGTAAAGGATGTTGTTTTCCTAATTTCTTCTTCAACCCTTTTACAGGAGGGCAGCTGATTTTTTTGAGTTAATTTTGTATCCAGCTACTTTATCGAAGGCATTTATCAGTTGAAGGAGTTCTCTAGTATAATTTTTTGGGTCACTCATGTATACTATCCTATCATCCATGAATAGTGATACTTTGACTTCTTTCTGATTTGAATCCACTTGATCTCCTTTACTTGTCTTATTGCTCTATGTAAGACTTCAAGTAATAGTACTTGAAGTACTTAAAGAGGTAAGGAGAGAGTGGGCAGCCTTGCCTTGTCCCTGATTTCAGTGGTGATTTTAGTTTCTTTCCAATTAGTTTGATGTTGGCTACAGGCTTGCTGTATATTGCCTTCACTATATTTAGGTATGTGCCCTGTATCCCTCTCTCTCCAAAACTTTAAACATGAATGGGTGTTGGATTTTGTCAAATACTTTTTCGGCATCCAAGGAGATGATCATGATTTTTTCTTTATGTTTGCATATGTGATGGATTATATTGATGGATTTCCATATATTGAACTACCCCCTGCATGCCGGAAATGAAGCCTACTTGGTTTTGGTGAATGATATGTTTTTTTTGTTCTTGGATTTGTTTTGAGAGTATTTTATTGAGTATTTTTGAATCAATATTCATAAGAGAGGTAGGTCTGAAGTTCTCTTTTTTGTTGTGTCTTTGTGTGGTTTAGGTATCAAAGTTACTGAAGCTCAATATCTTTTTGAAATGTATATACTTTTTAATTAAAATTTTGTTAGTAACTTGTATAATTATATATTTATTCAGTATCATTTCTACATGTGCATTTTCAGTTTTCTTAACACTATTTACTGAAGAGCATATTTTTCTCTCTCTATCATGTGTTATTGGTACTTTTATTACAAGTCCGTTGAATTCACATAAATGTTTGTGTATGTAAATACATACATGTGTATTTTATTGAGGCTCTTATTTCTATTCCATTCTCTCTCTTTTTTTTGAATAACTTTTAGTGCTAATTGTCCTTTATTTTCCAAGTTCTGAGAAACCACAACTGTCAATACAAACTATTATACCCAGCACCACTAGCAAAGGAACACTCATATTGAAGAAAGGAAATAAAGCTGCTACTGTCCTGGAAGCTTCATCTCTACTGTCTAGTTTTCGTGGTACTGGAAGTTGCTTTGAAATTTTTGTTTACAGATAATTTGTAAAATAGATGAATTTAAAAAAATAGATGCTAACATAACCTCACATTTTATTCCACCAATAATGTCACTTACAGAGATGAACGGTTTGTACCCTGTTATTTTTTTTTTCTTGGTGAAAGCAAATGTCTTAGCTTTTGTTTCTAAAACTATGACCTTTGTCAGTAAACTCTCACCAACAATATTAAGGTAAGATAATAAATTGAAATGGTCTGTCTTGAGAATCTTTCTCAAGCCATTTCTATAAGCATCTAGAAATTTTGAATTAAGAAGAAGTAGAAAATGTTTGAAAAGACAATTCAATGAATTTTCTAAAATATGTGATAGAGCTATAACTTACTAGCTGCTATTGGCTGGACACATTATTCTGTAAACCTTTCCCACTACACTGCACATTAGCATATTCTCACAAAGCCTAATTACACAGGGATTTCGGCCATAGTCAAAGTTTGCATTCTTTCCTTTCATGTCTAGAGATTAACCAAGAGCAAGAGCAGTATCAGCAGCCTGTAATGCTTTGGGAGCCTTTAGGACAACCTTGACCAACAATTCAAAAGATGGCTTCTAATGACTGCGTTTTTTTTTTTAATTAGATGATCTTTGAGCCTTGTGAGGCTCAAATGAGGGAGCATGGTCAGCCCAGAAATGAAAATTTTATTTAAACTATATGTGTACATTTTTATAGAGAATTTTATGTATTATAGGTTTGCTTCAAAGTTTGAATACAATATGCAACTGGAAATTTTCTTTGAGCACTCACATAATTTTTATGGTACTGTATGATGTAGGTCTCAGAAAATGAAGAAAGTAAAAACAAGAAAAATAGCCAAATTAAAATTTCAGTTATACCTAATTTAAATATAAAGAAACAAGTAAATACATGTTTATATTATTCTGCTTACACCTATTAAACTTCTTTGTATGTATGAAATCGAAATATAACGTGTTCTTTTCTGTTTTGTCTGGTAGTCCCTACTGTATGATGTAACTTTTAGATTACTATGATATTATAGAACACACAGAAATTTTCCAAACAGCCAAAATACAACCATTATACTCTCCTAAAATCTAGGAGAAAAATAGATACCAAAAACAAAACAAAAATAAAACAAAACAAAAAAACAAAACACCATACAACAAATACAAAACTAGATATCAGAACCTAGACCTGTAATCATCCCAACCCCAGGACGCCTAGA